TACAATGAGCACTAAACATCGAAGTGGAATTTTGCCAGTCACCTAGCCGTCGTTAAATGTTGTTATCGCCGCGATTAAGTAACAAAACAACTTGAGAAGGGAGTCGCGGGGTGCGGTGCGGGCCGGTGGGGATGCGTCGCGAATAATAATCTCAGTTTACGACGGCAGCCGAGTGAATCAATAAAAACACTAATAATGCACGAGCGTAATCCGGATCGTGCAACGTCGCGATTACCGGCACTAACGAGCTCGTAAAGACGGATCACCAATGCAAGGCTTAGCCGAAACGCCGCGGGACGCGACAAAATCTGCCGCGTCGCGCCGCTCTCCCAATGAAGCCGAAAAATGATTACATACAAATATTATATTCTTAATATTATTATTAAGGTAGATTTAGACCTGGCGAGGGATAAATTCCTTTAAAATTTTGTTTAGTGTAAACGTGTGAAAGGACGCTTAAGACTAATCGTTCCTTTTTGCTCGACTGTGTTAGCGAACAATTCCGTATATTTTTCTTTTATTTTAAATTTACCTGATAGAGCATTCAAGTACTTATTCTTGATTCCAAAGAAATGCTTTTACGTGAATCTGGAATATGATTATGATAATAATCCGCGATTATAATACTGAAACATTGACATATGTATACTTAATTTTAAATTGCATTTAAATTATATATATTTAAAATTATTTTCTATTATGTATATTAATGTAAACTTATCTTTTAAATCGTTTTTTCTTAATTCTGAATTCACAATAATTTCGTGCAGTGTTCGTACTCATATTTTTTAGTTCTACACTGCCGTTGTTTGGAAGCACATGTTGTTTCTAAAGAAAACGAATAATTGCTGACTATATACGATAAAAGTTAGCAAGAAAATTAAATTTTATGATCTTCAATCGTAATATATAAATTATAAATTTATTTACTTATTTATACTTTATTGTACACAAAAGTTACTAAGAAATAAAGTAAAAAAAATCAGAAATTTTATAAAAAAATCTTTGAGTATATGATGTTATATAAAGTACTTATACTTTATTTCCACACTTTTTATTATAAAATGTTTTTATTATTAATACACACGCTTAGTTCTGTAACGTCATCCTCAGGCAGTGAATTACAAAATCTTTCAACTATTCTCATTTTCAAAATTAATGTCGGGTCGTTTTTAAAATAATTTAGATTTAAATCGTAAAAAATGTATATGGTAATAATATGGGAGTAAAACCTGTCGATTGCAAAAACGATTTATTAAAATTGGTTCAGAATTACTAAAGATATACCCTAAGGTATACACAAAAAATACAGGTGAATTGAGAAATTCCTTCTTTTTGAATATTTAGTATATTCCTTCCCATCACAATTGGTAGTAAGTCAACTTTTAAACCTTGTAAATATTATTGAATGAGCAATCGGCCGGCTATCAGATTTTTCTAAGGAACTCTAAAATGGTGCACGGAATCCATTATTCTCAATTTGCAGAAGTTCAGGGAAGCGCGGACGGCAGACACGGCGGGTGTCCCCCTTGATTAAACCCCGGGAAGTAAGAAGTAACAATTTGTGTGCATTTCTCTATTCGCCTCCCGATTTATACAGTCAACCCAGGATTGCACTTGCGATTTAGATTTCTTCAGGTGTAAGTGTATTTATTTGCGTCGTGTATCGCTTGCTTACTTTAAAATGTTTAGTTCCGCTTCGTTTTTATTACTTTCTGCGTTGAAAAATACCATTGTTTCAAATATTTTTTTATTCTGATTTAGTTAACATTAGCATTTGGTCAAATTTTAATTTCGTGTTGAATTTAAAGTTTAAACTGTTAATACGTTTCTTCTTTTAACAAATTACGGGTACATTTCAAAGAGAGTGACAAAATGTAATAGCTAAATAAGTTTATTATAAGCGTCGGGTGGCTGAACTTGTTGTCTGATTTGCTATTTTCCAAAAGTTGTTTTATAGACATGTAACACCAAACAGTTACACACAAAATTGTAACAAAAATTACCTTCCATATCTAAACTTACAAAGATTTATGTCAAAATACGATTTTATTTTCATTATATTTATGAGGTAGTTTTAAGTACTTTTCTATGTGGAAATCGAGGCGCAAACTATACATACAATATGGAAATAAGAGGTGAAATCTCAAATTAGTCCATATCCGTTCTAATATGTTTACGTCGATAGCAACAGATATCGGCAGACAAGGATCCATGGACCACCTGCAGTCCGCCTGCCGTTGATAAGTCGCTTGAGTAAATCTATCGGGTGCAGACTTGTCAAGCTGTTATGTACATCGAAAAATACTATTCAATATTGTTATAGAAGTGACTGTTATTGTTTTTAGCATTTACAGCTATTGGAAGAGACGAGGGACACTTACTATTTTGCCCGTCCAAACAGAATATGTAAAATTGTATTATATAGTTGGACACGTCATGGTGACGGAATTGGCTGACTCTACGGGCGGTCTTGTCTTTCGTTGAAAAAAGTGCCACGTTCAAGCGAAAATAATTTTCTGTTAATGTGAGAAATGAAGTATTTTTCAATATTTTTTAAATGAATATGTAAAAGTTTTATAGTGAATTAAAATGTCAAGCATAGAACTAGTCGTATATTTTTTTTAAGTTTCTAAATATTTTTTTTATAATTAATATGTACCAACACAAATAATTTATGATATTCCTGAATATTACAGTGTTCGTGTTTCCAAATAGCTTTATAATGCAAACGTCTGATCATTTCAGATTTTAGAACAAACTCTTTAAAATTTATTTTAGATACAAGTTTATAATTATTATGGGTGCAAGTTTACTTCTGTTTATATCATCACAGTCATATCTGACGAACTGAGAACGTCCATCGTCCTTTAGTGCTTATAATATCTACTTACGTTGGAGGCTTTACTATGACTTAAATCATTCAACAATGTTCCGTCGATACTTGGCGCGTGCCTACTGCTCGTCTTCGGCGATCTTCGCCCGGCGTCGGAATTAAAATTAATAGCGGACGAGAAGCATGTCGTCGGCCGGTCGGACTCGGTCCGTGTAATTTGTTTACTTGACTCGCTCAGGATTACGTCGCATGCTCGTTGAATAGGTAACTGAATGTGACTTTTACCAGTACACACGGCTTTGGCTTTTACAAAACTCTTAATGAATCCTTGTTGGTTTATATTAAATGTAAGTTAGATTTCAAAAGGCTTAGGTGGTTTTGTTTTGGCAGGAAGAGATCTTCTGAATAAAAAAGGTTTGTAAAATGATAATTTTTTGGTGTAATATTATAGAAGCTCTTTTCGTGATATATAAATCAGTAGTTCAAATGCCTTTTTAATATTTTCTTAGTATCGTATAGCATAGCAAATTTTATTCAAGGATTTTCTTTGGTTGCTCTCTTTGCGGTCGATAGATTTCAATTCCACCGCACCTTGAGTTAATGCAAGTTAAGATCTCAAAGTCGGATTATTATATTCACATCTGCCTGTCAATGTTCCGACATAATCTGCAAGAGTTAATTGAGCGAACACTGTAACGAACGAGACGACTAAACGTCGCTGGAGCCCGGCGCCGCTTGCCGGCCACCGGACGTCCGATGGCACCCTAACGTTGTTTATTGTATCAGTGTCGCAAGCCTCATCAAAATGCAAATAAGGCGTGCCTGTGCCGCGCTGGACAGTTGCCGCCATATTGAGTTATCCGCGATTCGTGCGCCGTTTGTACCTGAATATCTCGAGAGAGATATGAAGCCGAAATAATCTGTTTTGGTATTTGATTGCGTTCTATGTGCTTATGGATTATTACACAGTTCGAAGATCTAATTGGTAACGGTGTAAAAATATTGTCTTGAGAGGTAACTAAGAAAATAAAACACAATTTAAACAAAATCCTATAAAAAATCAAGTCAGCCTGGAAATGGTATAGAAAGAGACTCGTGTTATAAATATACTAGTGCTTACCTGTGTCTTCGTCGTATGTTTTTAATAAATACTCTAATTCAAAATAATCCTGACAAACATGTTTCTTAAAATCAAAGTCCTTAATCAATACGTAATACTGTATCTCAATATTCTCTAGTGAGACCTATCTAATCTCTATACTCGATGAGATAATTGTACACCGGTACAGTCGACCTTATAAATCCCTAGTCTAGTAGCAGGTTGTATCGCCAGAATGAATCGGTCGTACCCGGGCCCGTTGCATGTCGGGCGGTTAATAAGCTTTTGCCGGGTTCAGATTTCGGTCGTTAGCGAGTAATTGTCGACACCTAATTAGTCCCGACACCCGACGACTCGTCTCCGGTGTCTCACACATGACCCGCGATATTTAATGCGGCGCGACACTGCTGCCCTGACGCCATGCGCCACTTGCATTGCGTTAGTGTGCTATGTGGGAATTTGCATATGAATTTATTCATGTACATTGGAACTGGATATTGAGGTTTTAGATTTAATGATACGAGTATGCCATATATTTCCCGTACAAAGGAAACCTTATAGTGCGACATCGTCCGTCCATATGTAATAAAGCATATATCAGCAGCTACTAATGTTATCTATGTAAAATTTGGAATAGTTTTAGATTTATAAGAATTTATAAATAGATTTTGAAATATTTTTTTCTTTTTTTTTTGATTTACCCAAATTACAAAACAAAAATTTGAAACATATTTTTATTTACTTTGTATGAAACGACCCACACATATTTGATGCTCGAAATTTTAGAATAGTCCTACTAGTCTGAGTAGTTTTTATTTCTTATGACAATCCAAGCGATTTTAGTAGAGTTCACTGTTTGTTTTTAATAAAATGTATATGGGAACAATCAGAAAGCATTTCCTTTCAGAAAAAAAAGGATTTTCCAAATTGGTTCATAAATAACGGAGCTTTGGAGACAAGCAACTAGCATAGAAAAATACTACTGAATTAAGAATATCCTTTTTTGTAGTTGGTTGAAAGGAAATTTATTACCTGTATTAATTAATGCTTTGAAATTGGTCACAGGTATGGAGGCTATAATGTCGGAGTTCTTCAATGATACAACGACCGCCTTCTATATCATACTGATCGTGTGGATTGCAGACCAGTACGACGCGATTTGCTGCCATACCGCCATCGCTAAACGACACTGGCTAAGGTATGTCATTTTGGTATATATACGAGCTGTTTTCCTAAGCAAGTGGCATACGAACCTGTCGTTAGAATTGTTCTTGTAAGCGAGCCCATGAAATATAATGAGATGACAGTATCCGGTGCCTTGTTCTTTCTTATGCTAGTGCTAACTGAAACTATTTTATCGATAAATAACGTATTTGACCGTAAGTTCATTTGCCACTTGTCTAGAAGCTGAATGTACCGAATCAATTTTCATATATACATATACTATTTTACCTATAAAACATTCATAATGTAACAAAATTATCGCTTGTTACGTATTTTCTCGAATATACAACTTATTTGCAGTTAAAATTATAGTTACAAATGTGGTAACATTTCGAAATTGAACATTGCGTCCCAATTAGTGGCTGTTAGTTTATTGAAAAGTACTCGGCTGTCAACCGAAATTAATTTGCTTATTGAAAGCATGCGCCCACGTCAATAGTCATTTGGATAGGCCGGCAGGACAGCGTTAACTGTAACCTGGAGTGATCTCATAGTTGTAATTAACAATACAGTTAACGAGATTAACATACATATATAACAATTTGGCTGCATATTAGCTGTATTTGTGCTTTTGTAAGTAATTTTTGATAAATAATAGTTGATAAATAATGTGTTTAGTAGATAAAAAGAGAAGTACATAAATTTAATTGATTTTAATTTCTATCGTTTGATTTGTGAAGGGTTCATGAGAAATATACAACTAAAAAAAAATGTTTTTTCTGTTAGTTGAAATAATAAGTACACTATTACTTACGTACGGTATACATAGGATGATAATTGAAAACCCCCAAGATTATCAAATTTGTTATCAATATTTTTATTGTGTTGTTCTGTCAGAGAACTATCGTTATAATATTTAGAATAAAATGGAATGTAGTGGAGTATAATATTACATTAATATATTTAGATCTTCTTTGTTTAACTATTGCAACATACACAATAATACAGCAGGTAAGTTAAAACTAATAATAATAATATAAAATAATAATAATAATAAAGGAAATAAATAATAATATAAAATAATAGGAGGAAATATGTTTTTTTGTTTGTGATGGATAAGCTAGAAATATACTTAACGGATAAGAACGGTAGAAAACTACATTATTAGCGAGTAACATGGGGTATATTTTATTTAAAAAAGCTCCGCAAAGCGGATGCATATCGTAATACTTAAAAAAAAAAAGATTAAGACTTCTATTAATAAATTTTGTCTTCTAATGATCTAACATCCTTCTGGTATCAAAGAAGTGTCACTCTGTAAAGTTAGGGTTGATAGTTGTTACAGTCAAATCAACATTCTTCAAACAGGTTACTGTAATTTAGCATTTCCGTGATCGGGTAAAAAGGTCACAGCAATAACCTTAACAAGGTGATAATAATTACTTTTATGCATACGTTGCGGTAAAATGTGGACCGTACTTGCGGCCCTCTATTGACATTTGTGGCGACACTGAATGAACCATGCATTCGACAAATTATACGTGTAGCTGTTTACTTATATCTTCTATTGATATTTGTTCGGAGCTCATTATTTTATGTGCCATTCGCTGTGTTTGTTTACAAATGTCGACGTTATATTTCTGTTTCGTTGCGTTTTTTGTTTAGATACCTACCTCATACCCTTCTAAATGAAGCGTGATATATATTTTTATTTATGCTGTGATTTAGTATTTGTAAGTATAAACTAATTTTATATATCATACCCATATATAGTAGAATATCTTAAATCGCATTCTATGTGTTTATACATATATATCAAGATATTATCCATCTACATGGCAAACATTTAAATCCATTTAAGTATGATTAAAAATTATCGAACATATTTACTGTAGGGATGGCATATGACTAAAATTACAGGGTATGGTGACATATCACCGAAACCATCGAGAATGGCAACGCATGAAGAACACCATCGACGTTACAGTGAATTATCTAATGTCCTAGTGCTGGTTATGTCTATAGGCGGCAATTTATAGTTTCATCATGTAGGTAGTAAATTTTTCCTAATTTTGTTATTTAAAGTTACATAAAACATCTTTATATACTTTCATATTTGCAATATATATTAATTAGGTAGATTTAGATAATAGGTAATGTAAATAATGAAATTGTAGTATTTTGCTTTGATAAAACAAATTATAATATGTTTATTACAAATCGTATCGCAGTTCTCTTTTTCGTTGTTCCAGACAGATTCTTATAGTATACTTATCCATCGGAAACTAAATTTCACAAGAAACTTATAACCATTCGCACACGCTGAGTGAACTTTGTTTTTACGCGCAACTCCGTGAATCGTGAGCCTCCTTAATCAAAAGGCGTCCAGGCACGAAGCAATTTGGCTGGTCGTCCGTACGGGCAATAAGGAGTGAGCGCTATTAAAACAAGCGCAAATAAAGCAAATTGAAAACGGTACCGCTTTCCCCCTCTGTCCCCTCGATGGGGGGGTTAGTGCTGCCCTGCCCCCGCGATCCTCAAGTACCCCGCAAAAACAACGCTGTTGTCTGGAGAGACCTTTGCGACATCTTAGCTACAGAGTTTTTACAAAGTTTATATAATTACATATGTATCGAAATAGAATATATAGAGCCTATCGAATTGTGATACGTTATTTATGTATTGTCTGAAAAAACGATCAATGTTAAAAAAAATATACTTGTGTATTTTTGTTTATCTTTAGAACTAAAGTAGTGTTTATAGCTCTGGAATGTATAAAGTTTTTTTTTTTCTGCAATAATATATTAAAAAGCATGTTATAAAGTTTCCTATTATTGGTTTAAGTTTACAGTGCGTTGACGTGCACTTACCCCTTTGTGTTCGCAATAAAATTAGCATCGTGCAATAAAATATTAAATATATTTACGTGTTTCCGGGATACCAGCGCTATTAATAAAATATAAAATATTTTATAAGATCTAAGTAAATAAAACTACCAGCTGATAATTATAGTTATTTCCAATATTAAAAATATTTATTTTCTAAAAACTCTTTGATATGAAACTAGTTTAGTTTTTAATTAAATGTCAAAAACTTAGATATTTTAGATACTTTGATATCATTGATTTTCTTTCAGATTTCATGATTTAAAATTTTTGGTCTAGCTATAAGGCTTCATATGTTGAATATAAATTATATAAAGCTTTTCTTCTCCCAAGGTGTCTACTGCTTTTATTTTATCCATGGTATATAAAAACAGTAATCAAAGGGCTCTCTTTTTTATATACCATTTTATTTAATACAAATCAGTACTGAGATATAGAAATTCTAATGGCAACATACACTTTGAGAATGTGTTAATAAGCGTAAAGGCCGTGTTTGCGGAGGGTCGCCGGTGGAGGTCACGATCTGTTGGTGCAGTCATGTGGTGGAACGATGGGTCGGCGTGCGGTCGTGTAAAATCGGCGACCCCGTGACGAGCGGCTCCCCGCATAAATCTCCGCGACCGCCAATTAAGGTCCGCCCCGACAGTTTGTCTACGACGCTGCCCTGATTGCTTTCCGCCATGTATTCCTGCCAAGCTCTGATCCATGGACCTAGATATTGTAGGACATTGTTCTTACGGAGTATTCCTACATCGTACATTTTGTTCTTTGTGTGTGTTAACATGCGATTCCATATGCTTTAATGTTGCCTCAAATATAATTTACTATTCGGCAGGTCAGATATTTTTTTCTAAAAACAGATAATTGGGCTATATAAATAAACATTAAAAAAACTAACGAAATCGGAGTGATGTGTTTGGCAACGAACAACATTAATATTTCCTTTATATTTAAATATATGGCCTTAGTAAAATTAAGTGTTATAAGTAATAAAGTGCTGTAGGCATGTCATCATCAATGTCATAAATACAAACAATAAATATAATTTACAGATCATCGAGTCATATTCCTACTGTACTTGTTCGTATGAATGAGTACTTAAAATTTTTATTGATAATGTTATAAATAATCTTAGAAAAAGTAACATGTATTATATGCGTCTTGTTGAATTCATACAAATTATCATTTAGTACGAGTACATACAATATTTAATACTATAACGAGTATGCAAATAGGGTGCAAATAACGCATATTTTAATTTTTTTTTTCTCTAATGATATTAAATTGACAGAATAACTGTCAGATATCGCAGAAACATTAATCATTACGTAGAAATTTGAGACAAGATTTTACGGTTAGATAAATAAGTAAATGAATAAATAGATGTTTTTTTTATACACAAATGGAACATATTTTATTAGATAAATATGCCCTATGTATATGACTAGCGATTGTGGTGCTATTTATTATAAAACTTTGAATGAACCTCCCATAAAAAAATCTAAATGATAATGACATTCTTACGAAGTAAGCGGGCAAATAAGCAGACGTTAACAGCGAATTTGTGTTATACTGTTTATTAAATATTCTTACAGGCAAATCAATGAGATTCAACTAGTAGTCTATAAAACTGTGATACGTCGTGTTGCTCCCATGTAGGTATTTATAAATTGTGGCACGCGAGTTGACGCGGCGTCGTTAGAGCCACGTTCTCGTGTGTCATTTTAAGGATGTGCCAAATTGAAGGCTCCGCCGGGCGTCATCGCGAGGGGAGCCTGATTTATGCCTCAGGCCCCTGCTGCTTCGATTAGAGGTTTATTCACTCGGCCGAGGTCAGTTTTCTTATGCTCGCCTTATTACCTATATTACGGCACTACGACTAGAAATAGCTGGAAACGAATTTTCCTTAGGTAGTTATTACTTTATAGTATATATACACAATACTTTCATTGATAATTATTTTAAATATTAACTGTGCCAGCTTGGACATCTGTTTTCATTGCCAAGGACTAGGATAGCTATCACTTCACTCGGTATAGTTATAAATGATTCTCCTCCAAGACGTAGCAGTACTTGCTTTGTTATATTTAGCATTTCGGTCTGAATGTTAAGTATCCAACATTCACAGTGGTGCGCCGCACCGCGATGA